GCATATTAAAAAATTAATTTGCTGTAATATTCCTTTTGGTCACTTTAAATATTTATTGAAAATACAATAATAAAAGCTTTGATATATTAGTAAAATTATGATATAATGTACGACAGATTCAAGTCGGACCAGGTGACTGCGTCGGGGTAAAATCCGTCACGACATGGTGACGGTTTTGGAGGGCAGAAACTTGAAGAGGCAGCACTAATCAAAAGTGGTCCACGGAGACAGATTGAGGGGCGTGCTGAAATAAATCAGTCTTTTGTTTTACAGCCCTAAAACGGTCGTTGGAAATATATATTTTATATATATATATATATATACAGCGCGCGAAATGACATCCATTCATTAAAACACCCCAGCTGCGAGATCGAAAAGACTCCTGGTGCCGATTCAGCAGCTCCGGATAGCGCAATTAAATAATCTCGACCATTGTGACAAAGTCATTATTTATTACGTACACTTATTTATTGCTAACGTATATGCAAATTTTATTGCAGCACATTGCGCTTAATGTTACATCAGGGCTTTAGTAATTTAAGAAGGGCGCAATGTTGTGAAACGAAAAATAATTAATGATACTAAATAAATGATACTAAATAAATAATTGCATTTATAATAAACGCACTTAAAATCTTTTATAAAGATATTCGGATAGAGAATTCCGAATTTATCGGATAACTATTCTTAAAATTAAAATCAAATCGTCCGAAGTGTTTTTTTATCATTTGACTGATCTTTTAACGTTAACATATAATTACTACAATTTTTATATTCTCATTGATCACCTTTTAAAATTTTAAGATGACATTTTTGGAGTTTACAGTGAATAATTCATTCGTTTTATAGCACTTTTATTAACCTTTTTATAACCTTTTAAATTTTTTATATACGAAAATCTAAATATTTCTCTTTTTCTCTTTTAAATATTTCTCTTTCTTCTAAAAAAAACTTTTAATATCTTAATTATTCAAAATAGATATTTTCTTTCCTCTACATGTTTTCTCTTTTACATTCCACAAATAAAAAGCATAAAACCTTACAATCGACTCGTATGTCTCATTTGTTGTCTCGTTAAATATCCAGGTTCCGTTATATTATGGAGCAAAATTAACGAGCAGAGAGATAACTCGAGTTGTATCTAAAGATGCGCGGCGGGGCAAATGAGCAAACAGATTCTCAGCAGAGAAGACAGTCTGCACTCTGACACAGCAGCCTGTAAATACAGTATTCGCAAAATCTATCTTCGCCGCCTTTCGCCAAAATTGCCGGAATTGTTATCGCAAATTCGCGAACATTTCAATTTAAATTGTTATCGCAATCGTGTGTGCGTTGATCTTCTCGCTCGATACACATACACAAAGAGCAACTTGATTACGATATAATAGTGGGTATAATTGTGTTACTATACGAAGAAACCTTGCGTGAAAATCTGCATGATAAGACTCTGGCTAATTATCTCAGACAGTTAACCCTGCTCCGAATATTTTTCTCGAGATGGAAAAAAACATCTTTGATTTATTCGCTCATTATCTCAAATTTATCTAAAATATTTTAATTTTTCTGAACCTCCTAGAAACATCTTAAAGCTATTTGTTCAATAATTGTTTTAGCGAATTATTTTTTTAATTTTAATTAAAAACCATTAAAATGTGCAATTTAATTTAACGAAACGGTAGTTACTTAAGCTACAACCGTTGAGTGATTAATGTATAAAGTAGTATAACTACGTTATAGTTCATGAGTGTAATCTACACACTTGCTAATGAGGTGTCATGAATCATATATTCTATATATAGAAGAAATATTAACTTATATGCTACAATGTATTTAAATTAAACAAGTCACATTGAGTTCAAAATTAAAAGACATTTGGAAATAATATTTTTAAATGCCACAACAATTTTTTTATTTATAAGATAAATATTTTATTCTCATTATCTCTCATTTTGTATTTCTCATATTTAATTTTATTTATTATTAATAAAATAATTAAATGATAAAAATAATTAAAAATAATGATAAATAATAATGTAAAATAATTAAATTGGATATTAATTTTTACATCATTGCACTTTAATAAAGTATCGCATTCATTATAAGTTTGGAGATAATATTTCGAAATGTATTTGAGATCTATCCTCCTGATTTTAATATATTGCAATTATTTATTTTAACAACTGTTATTTTTCGATTGTAGACTTCGTTTTCGATAAGATATCGATGATATTTATCGGCGAAATCTTAGTGCATGCAGGATGAAGAAATGCTATGAAGTACAATAATTATTGCGCGGGCGCGGGTCAATAATTCGTGCCACGTTGCTTGGCGACGGTATTCCTACTCTAAGCCTCTGGAACATTCGGCGCGAAGTGCTCCTCTGTTCCCTCTCCAACTGTTCAGACTCCAGGCAGAAGCCGACCAACCTACAATACGGCGCTTCCAAGACCGAAGATCTTGTCTTCCAATTGCGGCGGCTAATCCCTTAGTGTTATCTCCGTTCGTAAAGCGAGCAAGCTAGGTATTATTATGATTTATATTTCTCTTCCCTCTCGTCTTTTAAAAATCTGTGCATTTGAAACCAAGTTGATTTTCTGAAGAGGACACGTGACGAGTATGTGAAACGTGTTCTGCATGCGCGAGAATGGTTTCAATAATAATCGCACGTGGTGTTTTCCAGAATCACGACTGCATTGCGGTTTACGAAATAAAAGTGCCAATATAGGAATATATTAAATTTCTGTGATATTAATTAATTTATTAATTTTGATTTATTAATAACGATAAAACTTTTGCATCAATTAAAATAACAGAAAAATAAATTGAATATTATTTAATATTATATATAATCGCTTCGACTTAAGTGTAATTTGCTCGTCGGCAGCTACAATTCATTCAATCACCATACATTACAACTAGTTTCCTCTGTTACAAATTAACAGAAATAAGTACCTAGAAAAGTTTATTACTCTTGATATATTTCGCTCTTTAAAGAATCATTACATATCGTACACGCTATTCTTCTGTCTTTTAAATTATTTTTTAAATTAAAAAATTTCAACTTTTCACACAACAATTTATTATATAAAATAACAATAAAATAATAATGATTATATAATGAAGTAATTATTTATACGTAAATTTTTTTATTTATTATCATAATTTTATCTTTTATTTTTATAAATAGTATAAAAATCATTAAAGAGAGAGTAAAATTGAAATTTGCTGTCATATTTATGAATTAGATCGCATACTTTATATTTTTTATTACAATTTTTAGGCGCGTTTCTTCAGTTTCGTTAACTTCAGATAAGATTAGATTAGGAAAGTAAAATAATTTAAAATTAAAATTAATTAGAAATCTGTTGTTTGCTTGTAGAACTGGAAACGGTGGTATGTGGAAGAAAAAAGATGGACCAGAAAAAAATACATTTACATCGCCAAATGATGGGTCATATATAGAAAATTACGTGACATTTGTGTCTGAACGCTGGTCATCACTGAAATCGTGGTTTAACAACAATTTCGAAAGACTGTTTAGTTTTAAAATAAGCGATGTGTCTAGTTTTGAAAAATTCGTTCAGTTTCTATATCGTCCGACGGATCCAGCCAGTCTAGGAGTGGCCAGAGCTCTATTTGGTGAGCCAATATGACAATTATATTTTTACATAATTTTTCTAATTACAAACTAAGCTTTACGAACTAATTTAACTCATTATTATGTCTTATAACACCGACGAGAAGTTACATTATTTATTTCTTTTCGCATTGTCTCTATTTTCAACTGACTGTCTATACCTGAAACACTTTTTATTTTCTGACTTAAAAAACTTTGAGTTTGTTACATTTAAGGATCGGATTCATCTCATGCGTCCTCTGTTTTTACTTCAAATCTAAGGATATTTAAGCATATCTTTTTACTACTATTAACATTATAAGCATTTCAATGATTGATTGCAAAACTATTATTATGCGTATGTTCTTTTTCCGTTATATATTATAATTGAATTAAATTATGACATTATGATATTCGTTTTTCACGTTACCAGCGTCTATTTTAGAGAGCGAGATAGAAAATTTATATTTTGTTTTTACCGACTATAATAAATATGTATATTTTTAACATTGATCCGAGCGTAATCAAAACATTTGTTGTTTACTGCTAGCACATTAAATTTTAGCAGATTAAATTTTTACTCAATAATATATTTGTTTTTTTATTTTTCAACTTTGATATATCGGTTTATTTTATATAATAATTTTTGGCTCGTAAGCCCTTTTTTTTTTGATTTTGTAATCTAACTCAGTAAACATCAACTAAAAGCAATATAGCATCAATGTTATAATTTTACTCAACAATATAAATTTAATATAATACATGTGTTACATAACAATTATATTATTGAGTTCAAAATTATAAAAATAATCTTATGTTATTTTTAGTTGGTGTTTACTAGAAAGTAGCTTGAAGTCAAAAACTAAACTAAAATATTTATTATATATTTACCGAAGAACTTGCAATTAAAATAATTAGATAAAATAATTATAAAAGAACGATTAATAAATCATTCAATTCTAATTTAAAAATTTAATTATATTGTAATGATATGTTATTAGTAATATGTTATTAAGAAAGAACATTTCACAAATCAGTACATCGCTGGCTCATCGCTGTTATCATACAGTTTAATCCTCCTCACCGCAACACTTAATAAACGAAGTGAAGAATTTGAATTGTAAGAACTAGACACGATTTAAGACCTATTAAAGCAGTCTTGAGAATTAATGGCTCGAGCTAATAAAAGCACGGCCGTGATTCTATATCGCCGGTGGAAAAAGTGTATTACTTATACGAGCTTCTTTATCTTAACAATGCTTGTGCACAATCAAACTTGATTAAATATAAAAAAGAATAAATCTGAAGGTTTAAAAGATTTTGCTATGCTAAAGTACACAGAGATAAGTTTTTCTATATAATTTACAAACTTATTTAATTTATTACTACACATGTAATTCAAATCTCTTTTTTTATCTACCTGTAGGATTTCAATAATATATCCTGAAAATTCAGTGACAAGCTGCATGATAATTATATATATTTTTATATAATTTCTCTAATTATAATTTAAGTTAATGTAGAATAAGAGATACAATTTTGAATACAATTCTGAACAAAATAAAATTTAAATCCAATTTTTGAGGTTCAGAAAAACCAAACAAAAAAAAATCAAAGTTACTTAAACTGAAAATTGGATTTAAATTTTATTTTGATCAAAATTGTACAATATTCAGAATTGTACCACCTTATCCTAAATAGTTTAAAGTCACCAATCAAAATATATATTTACTGAAGAATCTGTAATTAAAATAATTAAATAAAATAATGATAAAGAAATAAATTATTCAGTTTTAATTCATTATCTTTTATTCAGGCGTGTGCATGGTGATAGACGTTGTCGAAGAGAGAGGATTCTCAGATATCGACATAAAATGGGGAGATCCATGGGACTGTCATTTTCCATTGATTCACGGGATGATGCCACCATCACTGTCGTGGATGATAATGATATACACAGTGATGTGGATGGGTGCCTTCGGAATAGCGCTCGGTCTGCGCTTCAGGATCGCATGTGCCTGCTTCGTGTTGCCTTATTGGTATATCTTTCTGCTAGAAAAGACCTACTGGAACAATCATACCTATCTCTACGGTGTCGTAGCCACTTTGTTCTGGGGAACAGAAGCGAACAAATATTTGTAAGTTAAATACCTACACACACAGTAAAAAAATATTTTCTTAGTTGTGTTAAAACCGGTTCTTGTTAAAAATCTTTTTAAGTTAAATTAGTTTAACATAATCATTATATTATTATGTTATTATGTTATTATGTTATTTGTGATAAATTAATATTTAACATTTCTTAAAATAACACAATTTACAAATGAACAATTTAAAAAGCGAACAAAAATAATGTATCTTTAAAATAAATTCTAAGATAAAAGGATAGACGTACTACTTTAACATATTATATAAATGTTAATTTTCTAACCGTGTATATTTTCATATAATTCTCCTAATATGCATTAATTGTTGATGAAATTTAATGTGCTATCATTTTTTAGCGCATTAGATGCAAGCAATGCAGAACGGGATGGCAAATCCGTGCCATACTGGAATTATTTCATTCTAAAGTTTCAATTCTTTGCGCTTTACTTTTTGGCCGGCTTAAAGAAATTCAGCAGAGAATGGCTTGAAGGCTACGCTATGATAAATCTGTCTAGACATTGGGTGTTCCATCCATTTAAGTAAGTAGAATTCATTATTATGATTGGAAATTATTATTGGAAACAAAAAGACAAAATTGTACATTTTAGCAAATGAAAATACTGTTATAAAATAAGAACAGAATTGACAATTAATTTAATTTACAATTAACGAATTTCGTTTGAGTTATTATTATATTGGTTGTCCGGAAAGTTCGTGCCGACTAAAATTTAAATTTTAGTATACATTTATTAAATTAAAATTTTCTGCGTTTCAATTTTCCTTCAACATCGGAACTTTCCGGACAATCTAATATATTTCAGCTTTAGTTCATAATTATATTTTAAATCCGATAGTAATTGATACCTAATTTATTCAACAAAAAAATGTATGTACAATTTATAAAGTAAATTATGTTATACTTTCATATTAGGATCTAATTTAACCTATTAAAAAAATATTGGCAGGTGCAGAAATTTGTCAAGCATTA